AAACAAATGAGGTGATCACAGCATTTCCTTGTTAATGTTTGACTGGGTTTATATGATCTTGAACAGAAAACCTGGCATCTGGCTGGGCTTGTTGGTTTCTTTCTGGTTGTGTTTATGTGTATTTGCAGATGGGGAAACTGCAAGCAAGAAAATAACTTGGTGGAAAATGTAGGTTCTGGATTGTTTAAATTATATTTTAAGCGTGATTGCACCCTGGCCCTTGGAACTCCAGGCATGATCCCTGCTAGTAACTAAAATGATTTGAATGTTATGGGGCAAAGTTATATTTAGTTTGTATTGGGAGAAAGAATAACAACGAAGCACGGGGGGGAGGCAGCTGCATTCCCATCACTTCTTTCCAAGTCACATCCACAGATGTCAAATCCCACCCTTCTCCCTCAGCCAGAGTATTAAGAACTTATTCCCTCAAATTATTGAGTTGAGGGCAAGGGAGACTTATGAAAACCTGCCCCCACTGGGCTTATGTTGAGGTGGGGCTTAACTTTCTGAGAGAACTCCTTCTATTCAGGCAGAACCAGCTGCGCCCTCTTCTCTGTGATGGGGTAAAAAGCAGTGCCCCATGGCCATAGAGAGCTGTCCTTGCCTGGTGGAAAACTGCAAGAGTTCCCTCTCCCCTTCTGACTACAAAAATGCCAAAAAATCTTGGATGGAATGTCCACCTAGGGCCTTTTTTTCATGCCCTTCTTCCATATCCCATGAAAAAATGCTGCAGGAAGTAATTGCTGTGCAATTACTTACCAGGAGCATCACAGATTGGAGATTCTCAGCACTTAAAAAAGCTGCTATTTCCAAGAATGACTGCCTAATGGCTAGGAAATTGGGGGGAGCACAGTGCAGGGACTCCTCCAGGATTTACACTCAGGGCCAGAGGGTACTTGATCTCTCCTACTCCACCTTGAAAGGATCCAGTCTGGAGCTCTGGTCCGTGAGTGCAGGCACATGGCAGTTCACAGCATTCATTCCCCCTAGACAGAGAGATTATATATATTAACATTAATTTTGCATTGGTAAATATATGAGCTCACTGTTTTAACAGTGTGGTTTAATTAAATGTTTTCAGGTTTCAGAATGATCCCTCATGGTGTTGCTCCCCAGTTCTTGGGGCATTGCCTTGCCTAAAAGCCAGGCAAGAGCAGCCCTATAGTGAGCAGGCATAGGGTATTGCACTTAATTAGATAATTTCTGCTCACACACGACACAAAGCTGGAGTCCAGGAATGGCAGAGATCGTGACACTGGCTGCTTGAGGGGTAATTTCATCCGCCTTTTAGTGCTGTGTTAGAGCACGGGACAGACACCGGCAGCAGTGTGGGATGGGAAGTCAGTGGCTACAACCAGGGTTCAGCCTGTTTTTACCTCCCTGGCAGCTGTAGGTGAAGCAGCAGGTGCTTTCCTGGGATTTTGCCTCGCTAAGCAGCTGTAGAAATGTATCCAGGCTGCAGGGCTGTGTCCTGGGCTCTGCTCCCACACCGCCGTGCTCAGCTGTGAGCACAGACGTGCCCCAGCCCTGCAGGGTCAGACACCAGGGACACTCCAATATCAGCGCCTTGGGAGGGCTAACTGGGCACTCTGCTCTCCTGGCCACCCCCTGGCACATTGTGGGCCAGTTCTGGAAGGTGGGGAGCTCCTGTCACTAACTCTGCTCTGCACAGGAAATCGGCAGACTCAGCATGCTTCTGCTACATCTTTTTGCTCTGTTCATGTAGCAGGTGATGGAACTGCTATAATGAACTGGACATTCATTTCCAAGAGAACCTGAGTGGTGCTGAGCAGTTTAATATCTGGATTCAGAGGGGGGAAGGTGTTTTTGCCTAGATAGTGTGTGAGGTGTCAGTAGCATCCATTGCCCAGAGGATATTGGAGAGGGCCTTTTTGCAAAACAAACTTACCCTGCTCTGCTGCCTCCCCTGATTCCTCTGATGGTGCAGAGTGGTGAGATGTGCCAAATGTGTCTTGACTGGAAAAGCATTCATCCGTCAGTGTTGCAGTCCCAAGGCGGGGCTCTACAGATATGTGGTGAAATAAGATTCAATGAATGCCTGTACATGAGAGAGACAGACATCCCTGATGATATCAACATTTTATTCTTGCTACAGCCCAGCTTCAGGATGTCCAGCTACCACTGGCTTGCCAGGGCATCTGAAGCCTCTGACATATGTAAAGGTGCTGAATTATATTGTGGTTCTTTGTAAACACAGTAGGAAATTACGATATTGTAATAATTATCATGGTGCTTGATATTTACATTGAAACACTGATTCCAGAGAGTACAGTTTGAGCAGAAAGTTATTAATGCAAAGATGATAGGTAATAAAATGGGAATATTTACAGCACTAAAAGAATGGAAACAAGGCCTTACCGTCTTTGCCTAGAGCTGTACACTGCTGAGAAGTGCATGCTGTATCTGGCAAAATTCACAGCAGGAAAAAAGAGTGAGGGAAAACTTTTATTCCTGTTCCTGAGAACGCTGCTGGAGGAGCTAATGAAGAGCTGGGCTAATGTTTTTAGGCAGAATGGCTCTAAGAAACGCACCCTTTTCAAAATGTCATAAAGGTCTGCAGATAGATCCTGTGACAGGGACTGATCCAACAATTCCTCAGAATGAAAGGTCAGTCAAAGGAAAATGGCATTTGGGAGGACCAAGCTTACCACTGACCCAAACATGTGACAGGTCCAGAGGCAACTCCGGTGCCATCAGGAGCACCGCTTGTGCAGCCTGCCCCAGAGAAGCACATGACGTGACTGGGAAACTATCTGATTCCTCCAGGTCTCAAAATTCATCAGGAGTCAACCTGAATGTCGGAAGGAAAGGGATTTTGAAGGAGCCTACAGCAGACTTACAAGTTGGGAGGAGGGTGCTCTCTCTCCACTGTCCCTGCTTGCCCTGCACCAAACATTTTTTCCCCAGTACTAATTATAGATCTGTTTTTGTCATTTGAATATGCATGAAGTGGTATCCTGGCTCACTAGCAGGTCGCAGTGAAACTACTCTTAAAGTTTGGCTTGATTTGATAGGGCTCTGGGTCAGAAAGAACCTCTCCAAGGGCCAACCCAGAATTTCATCAAGTCTGTGGACTTGTCTGGGCATTTCAGCTCCTTTGCAGTGAGTGAGGGCATCATGTAGGGAAGTGTAGCCAAATTTCAGGCTGGATTTCACTCAGTGTTTGTGAATTCTACCTTATCAAAGCCAACACGCACAGCCCCTCTTCGTTTTCCTTAGATTTTCACTTCAAAATATTTCACAACGCAATTTGTGTCAGACCAGTATTCAAAAGGTCTTGGGGTTATCTCTCCATCCACAGAGATGGTTGGAAATCTTACAAGGTGAAGAATAGAAGGGTGGTTTGGAATTCTTAAAAACACCTGGACAGGCAGTATTTCTCATGGTGTATTTGCCAGTTCCCTTGGAGTATGGGAGGATATGATCACCTCTGAGATGCTGTCCCACAGGTGACTGCAGAAGATGTGAAGGGGTGGGTGTTATCTTTGCCTTCTTTGTTATCTTTGTTATCTCTGACTTTTTCAGAATAAGTGCTCTCAAGGTCCTTACTTCGGGTCATTAGAAGTTCATCAGAATCTGAGTGTGTCTAAGACCCATTGATTTAACCAGCCTCTTAGTTAAACTCTTTAATAAGTTTCAAGCTAGTTCACCACTCTGTTCTCAGCTTGAGCAGCGTTTCTTTTCACCAGCAAAGCTGCAAAACTCATGGGTGTGATTCAACATGAGTAACTGTAACTGCAGCTCTGGAGTCATTCAGGAGCTGTACTGTATGTACTGCCTTAGTCATGCTGAGGAAAAATCAGGCAGACTTTTAAATAATAGGAATTAGTCATGAGGAAGTGCAAATACGAGCCCTGTAGTTTATCCCCTGTGGGTCCAATCCTTCAAAACATTAGGAACAGGAGTAAAATATGAGGGAACAGTTCCAAATCCCACAAACATCTTGTGGGTTTTGGGTGCAACTCAGCATCAGCAATCCTTAGCAAAACATTTCGTCCTTGTGCAAGAGCGGGGCACTTATTATCACACCCATTAATAGACTGTTCTGGGAAGAGCACTGCTATTGCAATCTGTGTAGACAACTTGTGCAATTAATGAAAAGGCAGAAAAGGCTGATGCAGGAAAAAACCTCAACTTTTCAGAGCCTTGGGAAGGAATTTCAGTTGGAATTCAGCTATGAGACCATTCCCACTGCTGGAGTCTTTATCACTTCTTTTTTCCTGATTGTTGGCCTGTCCAAGTGCATCCTGTTATCATGTGGCAAACAGTGTTTTTACTCTGACATTCCAGGGACACTTTCCTTTGTATGAAATTATCACCTTTTACAAAGAGCAAATATTTGTCAGGTGGGTCAAACCGGCAGGGTTGCTAAGGAGATTAATAAAAATATCCTCTTTTGGACTATAAGCAGTGTTAACGTGTCAGGCTAAGCCGTATCTTTCACTGAAGCACTACCCAATGAATGTTCTGTGCGAGGCTTATGTGTCTCAGATAAAGCCCTTATGGTGACTATTAAAGGGAATTACTGTGCATACAACATGAAAGAATTAAAACATTTGGTGGGTGTGGGGCAGTGTTTTGTTGTAAGTACCACTCCTGTTACTAATTTTGCCTTCAGTATAGGTGTTAACTTTAAAACAACTAGTTTTGTTACTAAATACATCGGAACAGTTTGTCTGTTGGGTTCCTTCTTGTGACAGGAAACTGATGGAAATTTTGGAAAAGCAATAGAGCCTCAGAACCAAGTTTCCCTGGTGGGTTAGTGTGAGCTGCTGATGGCAAGGCTACAGCTTCAGGTCTTGCTGTATCCCTCTGTAATTGCCAACATTTTTGGCCTTGGTTGTGAGTGATCTTTGGTAAGCGACGTTTTATTCTGTATAGCAGTCAGTGTAATGGCCAGATTGATGACTTGGCTTTGAATCAGTGCTGTGTCACTGGCAAAAGTCATAACATCTTTTCCTGTCTCTGCTCTCTCCTAGGCCCCCCAAGGATCGCTGATAAAGTGATTCACCGCCAGTCCGTGAGGCTGGGCAGGACCATCAAGCTCCTGTGCCCGGTGGAAGGCGACCCCCCGCCCCTCACCATGTGGATGAAGGATGGACGGACTATCCACAGCGGCTGGACGAGGTTCCGAATCCTCCAGCAAGGGCTGAAAATCAAAGAGGTGGAGAGTGAAGATGCAGGGACCTACATCTGCAAAGCCACCAATGGCTTCGGCAGCACCAACGTGAACTACACCCTCATCGTCATCGGTGAGTAGAGCTGCAGCAAAGCCATAACCTCCTCTGGGGCGACAGAGAGAGCTGATTTCCACGTAGCTGTCACTGACTGCAGATTTGCTTTGCCAATCATTCACTGACTCCACTCTTAGCTGGCCCCTTGCAGTGTTTGAGGATTGCCAGAGCTGGCTGTGCTGCCGCGCATCTTCTGCTGCAGCCGGCTGCAGGCAGATAAGATTGCGGAGTGCCAAAGGTTACACATAAACAGAAATGATGAAATAGCCACTGGGGTCCAGATCACAATGAATTCCACACAGGAAAAGCTGTGTGATAAGGAGAGGTCACACTGATCTTTATGTTTGCTGTTGGAACAGGATACCTCTCAAAACAAATGTTGGAGCACCCGTATGAAAACGCACAGCGGGGAGATCCATGTGCTGAGCAGTTGCAAAGCATGGTGTCTGCAGGAATAATAATATTTGGGTTGAAACAAAGCTCTGAGCTGGCGAGATGCTCGGCTCTTGAGAAATCTTCTTGATGAAGGCAGGATTAAAAAAGCTTCAGGCACTGTTTCAGTGGCCATGGGTTTCACTGGCAATGCTTTTGACCATTTTCAAAAGGCTTGCTTGGCCCAGCAGTGAGATTTTGGGGCCACTTGCTGGGCTGAGCATTCCCAAAGGCTCCCAAAGACATTTCTCTGGTTAATCGGAGATTCCTCTGCAGAGGCTGCCACAGAAATGTGCTCATTGGTGCTTGGCTGGGAGAAGAAAAAGAGCTGGGTAAAAATCAGTGCGCTAGAGGATGCTGAGGGAGTGAAGGGAAGGGTTACAAAGCAGGGGTGAGATCAGATATCTTGCTCACCTTTTGCCTGATCAGCATCCTGAGCATCTGGTCTACAAAGTTCTGTTTCTCTGTGAAGGTGGAAGTGAGGACAGAGTTTAGGGCAGTTTCCAGCTGCCTGCTTGGTTGGCTCTTGGCCTGGTTTTGTTCTACTTCTCCTTTTTCCTGTTTGCAGCAGGAGGGGAAGCTGCTGTGGACTCAGGGCATATAGCAGACACTTGGTGCTGCTTGATGGAGGATTATCACCCGATAACAGGGTGATTCTTGGAGAATGCACTTCGCTGCACAACCAGTATAAGAAAGGGACCAGAATGTGAATATCTTATCTGGAAAGAGATGCTTCTGTGAGGGAAACCCTCTGGTGTCTCCTGTAGCATCAGTGGGATAGAGCTGCGAAAGTCATCTTACAGTTTTGTAGTTTGAGGATTTGGTTTTCCTTGTTCACCTCTTTCTTAATCACATTCATCCATTTCTCTTTGCTATGCTGAACAAACAGGGTGAAGTGGAAATAGTCTTACAGAGTCATGTCCATACAGACTCCTTTAGTATGTGCTTTCCAGACTCTGCAGTGGAGAAAGGAATGCTGTAGAAGACTGCTTCAGTCCAGCTTGTGCTTTTGCAGTGTTTGGAGGTTACCAAAGTCCTTGATCTCCTCTGTCATCCTGTATCTTCTATAGAGCTCAAGCCAGATCCCATTATTCCAGGGCAGAGGCATCAAGGTATCTCTAAGTCTAAAAAGGCTCTGCCTACTCTTGGTAGCAAATAAAAGCAAAAAGCCAGGAGGCAAAGGATAAAAGTTGGACTAGAATTCAGGAAAGATTGGGTCAAAAACTCCCATTCAGTTGCTCAAGGAAATTGGGTTATCAAATATAATTGTGTTAAGAACAATAGTGTTCATTATATTTGGCACTGAAAAATCCTGGGCACAAACACTATTTATTTAGAGCCTCATCAGGTATCTGTCTATGGAAGGAAGTGGTAAGCTCCCACTGGCCTCTGTGGGTGTGAGATTGAGCCCTATACAAACAAATATTGATCCCCAAGTGCCAAGAAAAGGGTAACTTTACCCTAAACCTGTGTCAGACATACAGGCTGAGGTATCATTCACTTCCACACATCCTTGTAAATACTGGCTAAACCCAGTACTTCTTACACAATTTTGCACCTTCTTTCCTCGTCTCACAGTGTGCCCTTGTGCATTCTTGTTGCTCAGACCATTTTTGATGGATTACATACGTCCCCTGTCTCTAGTGGTACAGTTGTGTTCATGTAGCGTTTCAAACCGATTGCTTTTCACTGGGGCGGTTTCCCCTGAAAACAAATGTTCCCCTTGTGTCTTTCTTGTCAAGCTCTGCAAGTAAACACAAGGTATCACTGACTTACTCTTTCAAAGGACCCAGACATTTAATGCAATGACCAGATGCTCGTGTTCATCTTGGTGAAAATACTTGTGGTTGAGAGAAAATCAATCCCTTGTTGGTTTTTGAGAAGGAGGCAGTGTTTTAAAACCAACTGCATGTCAGTTTTGACGACGAAGATCAAATTGATGGAGCTGTTTTGTTTGTGCTCTGGAAAGCACAAACTTGATTAGGCTTTTTTGAACCATATGGCTTCTCTATTTTCCCACTCCTTCAAAGGACAAAAACCCCTCTTATTCCAGCTTTACTGCTAACACCAAACATGTAAAACCACACAGGTGTCAGACACGGACAAGGTGGTTAAGATATTAGATCTAGAATAGCATTAAATGATTCATGAAACACTAGGACTTCAACAAATATAATTTATATTGACATGAGAGCATTCTGGAAATTTAATCAGTAATATCTGGAAAATATTCAGTAGTTTATTGAAAGGTTTTGGAGTTATTCTGTATAACTGTAACTGAGCTCTGCCACACCACTGGCAAGTGAGGAGCTGTCACCCCTGTGTTATTTACATAGAGACTGCAGCAGAATAAGGTGATGGTTTACCCAAATCCTACAGAGAGCTGTGACTAAATTCAGTGGTATCCAACCTCTTTGCCTGCTTTCAGTGCTGTGTAACTCTTACTAATCTCAGCTTCTACTAGCCACTGTATTCCATAACATTATATAGAAAACCAGCAAAATTTTGGGACATTGTACAAAGGAATAAAAGGTTTAGTGGATCCTCCAGAACTGGTGGAGGTCCAGCAGACGTGGCAGAGATGAGCTCCCTGGCTGGACTCTGTGAGATGTAATAATTCAGCTGTAAGACTGTTTGAATGTCCCTTTGTGGATTCAGGACAGATCTTGCTTGCAGCCAGCCAGCTCAGTGCACGGACAGAGCAGACTTAGGTGTGCCTCTGCATGTCTGGTAGACAAAACTACAGCTTGCCTGGCTGGAGAACCTCTCGGTCTGAGAGTGCAGATGAGACGGATTACAGTGATTTTACAGATGGTAGCTGAGATAAAGAGAGACCAGGTGATTAGGCCAAGACCACATAAAATAGGAGCTGAGGCTCAGAGTTGAGTCTAAGCCCCTTAAATCCCTTCCTAAAAGACTATTCCTCCTTCATAGCACATACTAAAATCTTTTCCTCCTAATCTTGCATCTTCCTAGCTGCTCTTTTGGAAGTGAGTCTTCTCTCATTTTAGGGTTTTGATCTTCATTCTCCAACAAAGGCTTTGCCAACCCAGATGGTAGCAATTGGTTTCTGCCCTGCTTATTTCCCCATCTTCTCAGACTGCAGGGCCTGGATCCCAGAGATCCAAGGAATCCTGCTCTAATACAGCCCTGCATGAAATGTAAGCCAGTAAAAGCAGATTACCAATATAAGTCAAAACTACAATTTCCTCTCTTAGTTATCCTTAATAGTTTTTGTGGCTCACCACAAGATTTGGGATGCCAATTACACTGCAGACGGCTTTACAAATGCTGGAAGAGGAACTTTAATCAGTATTTAATTACATTGCAGTTATTAAGTACAATGGTTCCTTATTTTGGAGAATTATGTGCGGCTCATCAAAACAAATGTGCTGTACCTTCCCCAAAAATTATATTTAAAATGATGCCCATGAAATCTTATCTATTTTTTTCCTCAGCTGAATTAATTCTAAGGGTGTGAAAAGTAACTTTATTTAATTTATAGATGGTTGGTTGAAACCTGCGGTTTCTTTACTGCATAATTAAAAAATTCCTTGCCAGTGTGCTCTAAAAAGAAACTGAAGTCCAAAGAGGAAGAAAGAAAGTGCTGAATAGCTACTCCTTATTTGAAAACTGTCCACCTTGTGTGCTGAAAGGAGGCATGTTCTGCAGAAAAAAATTAGCAGGTGGTGGTGTAACTGAAGCCTCTGTCGAGCTGTGGCCAGCTTGGAGAAACTGAGTTTGCACACATGGAGCCACACTGCAGCCCTCCCTGGGAAATCCTAGCCCAAGTGGGTGAGCTTTTACTGACTTAAAAATAACCGAGAAAACAAAGTATTCTAACATGGAAGTGCTGGAGGACCTCCATTACTGCTCTCTCTGCAATAATAAACATTATCCTGAGCTCCAGAAGTCTGGACATTCTCTGAAGGGAATATTGTTTGTGAACAGCTGTAGGAAGGACTATAGGTAAATATTTATGCTGTAACATAATGACCTCTTTCACTAATACACAACACAGAGGACTTTTCACTTGCAGAGGTGTTGTGGACCAAATCCTGCAAGGTGTGCCAGCATTACAACATGTGGGGCTATTGCTACAGGTGCTGCCAGTAAATACTTCTTGCATCAGTTGCTCAACCAGGTGATGAAAGATCAAACTGTGTCTATTTTCACATCTGCATCCATGTTTCTTACTGCTTTCTGTAGCAAAGGAAAGAAAACAATCAGGCAGCAGCAAGAGCAGGGTTTGGGGCTGTCACCTTCTTGCTTCACTTGGTGTTTGGAAACTGCCAAGGACACATCTTGCTTGGGTGCATCTCAGCACAAAAAATAATCAACATCTAAGTCCAAGAAACAACATCTCCTGAATTTCTTTTTTTTTTTTTGCCTTATGTCCCTGACTGCTGCAGTTGTTTATTGTGTTCTTTGGATTTTTTAATTGATTTTATTTTTAGGAATATTTTGGTGAAGAATCCATCATCTATCCAATTCATATCCCCCTCTGGTGCCTGGCCCTCTGAGGCACCCAGCCACTTGGCCCCATTTGGGCTATGGAGTAATAAAGTCTTGATGCAGAGAACAGA